AGAATGTGTATATTAGAGGAAGTTTGAAAGTAGCGCCAGTGGTGGAGAAATTGAGAAGCAAAAGGTTAGCGTGGTATGGACATGTTATGAGACGAGATGGGGACATAAACAAGAAAGTGTTAAAAACGAATGTGGATGGCTACAAAGGAAGAGGAAGATCGAAGAAAGTATGGATGGATTGTGTGAAAGAGGATATGCTTAAGATAGGAGTAGATTCAGATATGACGGTTGATGAGATGTACGGAAGAGCAGCAGTTGATTATGTAGTCAAAAAAATGAAATTGGAATTAAAAAATACTAACATGTGTATGCAGAATATAGATACGCTTATTGCTTTGTAATTGTATTTTTACGATGAAGATAAGATGCCATTTGGTAATTAAAATTTAATTTACCTTACAATTATTCTCATGTCATAAATACTCTTGAAATTATCAAAAGGAGTAATAAAGATACAATTGCCTTGTTAATTAAATTTCCATTACTTAAAGGCTACCGTTATTCAAAAACAATTTCATTATAGCTTGAAAATGGACAAAAACTTTAGTTGTGAGTTTGGAGAGATAAACCGGTAAAGGCCTAGGAATCGATGGAAGGATTCCGTGGTGACATTAAGAAGGGAGTGAAGACAGATGACGGAAGATAGTTTAATATGTAGAACGGAAACCTGGAAAGCCAACCTTAGGAGTAGAAGGACGAGGAGGTGGTGTTTCGGAACTAATTCGTTTGCATGCATTAGAAAATTTAAATGAATGAAGCGCACTTAAAGCGGGATTTTTGTTTCCTTGGTATTCAATAATAAACTTCGTTTGTTTATTTATTTCATGTTTACTCTTTTTTAATTATAATTCGAATTTATTACTGTTCTAAAGACAGGTGTTGTATACTAAAGTGATCTTTTAGATAACAAAAGATTACCCTTAAAGCTATCCACTTGGCTGTTGTAGCTTAGCTTTGCTAGCTTAGTCGGATAATTCCAATGTCGCAATCACGAGCACCGGCTTAACCGTCGGATTGTCGTTCAACCTCAAACAATCCAGAGATTCTCAAACTTTTTCTCGTTGATTATTTTTAGTTCTCTCTATTGTTGCTTTCTTTTCTAAATTGCCGCTGCACTACATAGACTTTAGAGGATTCTGAACCTCTTTGGCAATCACTGGCTTTGACCCCATCAGTTATCGAAGTCCAATTGGCGGATACTTATGAGTGACACAAATTATTATTATTTTATTATTTATTATAATTTTACAGATATACATACTATTTTGTTACTAAAATTTGACTTAGTCTAAGTTAGTATTGTACATTTAAAATAGATTATATACTTATACTAGTGCACATGGACATTTACCCAGTGCTTATAGACTGGGCTGTCCATGCGACTCCCAACCACCTCCAGGATAGTGTTGCGGCTGCCGCGCACCCGCGCCATCAAGGATGCTATGCGCTTGCGCCGGATCGCGGAAAGCCGTCCACCCGATTGACACAAATGATTGACAAATAAAATTACAGTTTTTAATGTTGAGTTTTTTTACAAACCGGTTACCATTATATACATTTTTGGTGCACGTTATCTTTTTAGTTTACGTTAATTGTTAATTTATTCATTATACATTTTTTGTACTTAATTTCGTTCGTGATGTACACGTAAATTTAAAATCATTTGGAAAGATGAATATTCAAGTACTTTATTGTCAATGAAAGTGTTTTTTAAAAACTATTAAAAACAAAGAGTCATTGGCAAAAGCTATACAATAAAATAAAACCCATAAATCTATCTTACTATTATAATGAAGCGTAAACACACACTTCTTCGTTGCCTAAGATGCAATTAGAGTATATTTTCGAATAACTCATTTTTTAATAAATAGCCCTAAACTTAAGTCACGCTTTAGGCTATATATTTTCACGCCATTAAACTTAGGGGGTAAATATTTTAGATAAAAACACTAATGTGGGAGAGACCAGTTGCTCCGAACATCAAGGAAACAAGATTGCCATGATTTGTCATGTCATGTCAGTATGACATTTGCTATTAATAATTTGATAACATGTTTTATGTAAACAATAATTTTTTTTTTTATAATTCTATGCGGATGAAGCCGCACGGGAACAGCTAGTATAATTATAAAATAATAGTAAATCTAAACAGTTACTTAACGATTAGTAAGGTATAGAACAAGGCAGATATTCCCGGTATAGATTTTCCCAGAAATCCACCTCTATTTTGTCTGGTTCAGTTCCCATCGTTAGGTCTTCATTGATTTCTAAGTAAGCTTGTTCACTTGAGTTATACGGAGTCCATTCAAATCCAAAACTTGACGTTGGATTTCTGAAACATATTTGATAATTAAAACAAAGAAGCAAGATGGATTGATTTGATTTTATTGTCTTACCCATGTTTGGCAAAATTGGTCCATATTTTTGTCAAATTCTCGATAATTTTATAGCTTTTTGAGTTTTTGTCAATTTTAAGATTCTCTTTCTTCATTAGAAAAATATAAGTTAATTCATCACAGTGACATGTAAGTATTACATCACCTATAAGGTACTCCAGTTTTAATTTACGAGCCATAATATTCCTTTCAGTTTTACCAGTAAATTTATAGAAATAAACTTTGTTTTTCCTTGAACAACTCTTTGCTATTTGAAACATAGGATACGTGAAGTAATTCAAAGAAAAGAAGATTATTAGTTTCTTCAAACTTTGCAATGAAACGATTTCATTCCCAAAATAGTAATCTTTAACTCTTCGTCCGACTTCAAATTGTATATCCGAACTACAATTGTATGCTATCGCATTTGGGACGTAGAATTGTAAAAAATTATTTGCATATTCGAAAACTTTTTCTATTTTTCTTGATCTTAAACATATAAAACCTTCATCATCGGTATATCCCATCATAATCTCGACATCAGCGTGTATACCATTGCGGAGTTTTTCAACAAAATCACCAGAAATAAAACTTTCGTTGCTTGCGAATTCTTTTTCATCAACGATACCAAAAAGTGTATCATACTGATCTTTTCCTTGCTCATAATATGTCAGAGGAAATTTAATTTTAATCAAGGATTCTTTTGGTTGCCGTTTAAAAAACTCATAAACTTGTTCGTCACCTTCTCGAAATCCTAACCTTTTAGCTAATGCAAGTGCTCTTTCCCGCGGTTGAATAATCTTAGCAAACGGACAAGTTAAGGAGCCACTTTGAACTATAGCTCGCTGGAAGAGGCCTTTAGTCATCGGTGATATTAAATGAAAATTGACACTAATAGCACCATAGCTGTTACCGAAAATAGTAATATTTCTAGGATCACCACCGAAGTTAGCAATATTATTATTGACCCATCTAAGTGCCATTACCTGATCCTTCATGCCAGCATTACCTGGGACATCTTCAGTATCTAGACACAAGAAGCCTAGAACTTCTAATCTGTAATTGATTGTAACTAGAATTACGTCATGTTTTACTAAAAATTCAGGGCCGTACATATCATCATTGCCGCTTCCGAGGACCAATCCACCACCGTGTATGTAAAACATGACTGGTAAAGGATGCTTCGGGTTAATATCTGGAGTATAAACGTTTAAATACAAACAATCTTCAGAACCAATACGTATTAAGCCAACTTCACTCTTTATTTCGAATTGATAACAAATAGACCCAAATTCTCTTGCATTTCGAATTCCATCCCAAGGTTTCTTTGGTACAGGCGCCTGAAATATAGGATTTACACGTAATTTAATACGCATTTTATCATCTCTATGTTTCATTAGGATGACCCATACAGTTATTTCTGAAACCAGGCAAAAATGTAAAACTGCCTTTGTTAATAACAAGTCTAATCATAGCGATATTTTTTGTATAAAAGTAAATTAAAAAAAATTCTAAAGGTCTGAAGGATGAAAGGATCAAGGATGAAATGATGACCAGAATGAAAGGAGTCAAGATATAACAATTGATAGAAATGTATTGAAGAGTAAGATACCTTCCCTAAGGGTAGGATGTCATTCTCCTACCTTGAAACGGAGATCTCCAATTGGTGGTTCAGCGTAAGGAATCCCTCTGAAACTGTAGTAATTCCCTCCTAATTCACTTTCTGTAATCTCTCCTTCGAGATAACCCTCATTGACTTTAATTTTGACCATATTAGAATATTGCAAGACAATTCATGTGTGTCTCAGAATCACACAAAATTAACTGAATTATAAAATGTGAAGTTATATTTATACAAGTGTATAATTAAGTTTTTGTCCTCAATTGCATAGATACATGTGTAATACAAAAACGTTATCTCTAATGGCAAAATTAACAATTACTTTTATAAGACTGGCGTGGTTAAATTTAATTTTTACACAAACCTTTTAATTCTAAGGTAAGTGGTAAAAACTGACTTTACTTAAATAGATATATAGCAGAAATGCATAAATTTACATATCAATTGCTATTTTTACCACAAGGATATATTTTTATTAATTACCTCTATTTTATTTTGAAGAATAAAACACAAACGATAAAAGTTTTTATCACTATTGTTTGTTGTTTTGTGCCTTAAAATACTGATATATTCAAATTATTTTAGTTAAAAAAGTCTCTGATTTAGGTGAGCTATTCCAAGGTTAAAGCAAATCGCAAATCTACCTCTCATTCATTCACTATAACGTGCAAAAGAGAAAGGAAATAAACAAACTGCAATAAGTATGCGATAGAAAATAATTTCATTTATTTATTTTCTTTTTTCTTTAGACCGTCTATTAATAACGTTAATAAAAGGAAATTATTCCAAATTAAAAAGAATATTGTGTTAATAATTAATACGATATCTTTGATGGCAGAAATTCTCTGTAAATGTTTTCCCAGAAATCCACCTCTACTTTGTCTGGTTCAGTTCCCATCATTAAGTCTTCATTGATTTCTAAGTAAGCTTGTTCATTTGAATTATACGGAGTCCATTCGAAATCAAAATTTGTTGCTGGATTTCTAGAAAAAAATAAGCAGTCTTAAAAATTTTACACGCGTTTTCTTCATGTTCTCCAATATTATACATTTGTAACTAAGGAAAACATTACCTAGCTACCAATTTTTTGA